GAGTGATGGGCGGGGGGGCTGAGTGGGACAGGAGGCTGGGACCCCCCTCCCCCACCACTCTCCCCTGCAGGGGCAGGAGGCAGAAGCTTGGTCCTGCGGCAGCCAAGCTTCCCTCCTCCCGCTTCTTCCCCCAGCGTGGCACTTTCCGGCCCCTCCGCCCCTCCTCCTCCTCTCACCGGGCAGGCAGCGTGCCACTCAGAATCGGCTCGCGTGCCGTGTTTGGCACGCGTGCCGTAGGTTGCCGACCCCTGGCCTAATGTCACTAGCTCAAGTGTCACTGGGGAGGGGGATGTGTTATGGACCAGTAGCCAAAATGGCTTCTCATGGGCTTATTTCTCAATCCTTTCACCAGTTTTATCAATTATGTTGGGAGGAAATCACAATAGAATGGCAGCTTCTTAGGGCAGGGACCACATATCTTGTGTGTGTTTTACATCACCAAACATACTGTCAGTGCTTTACAGATAACTACTACTGACAGTGTGGACAGCTCTGAGATACTGTTTCTTTGGGGCAGAAAATCTGCTCTTGAGTTGATAGCTCAGTCATTTGGGGGTCAGAAAAGTAACGGATTTACCATAAAGTTTTCTATCCAAGTCTAATAGGTCACATCTTGACTGTTTCTCCTCTCTCTCTTTCTGGTACCAACAAAAACAGGTTCTTGGGGCACAAAAAAGGTGAAGTTGGCCCCTGGCAAAACAGCAGCCTGGCAGCCACTCCCAGACAGCAGCATCGACCACCTGGGCGTCATGATGGATTCAGTAATATTGCAAGTATCAAGCACCACCACATCCCATACCTCAGCCAAGGCTTCAGACACATAAGACCAAGAATCTCATTACGTTTCCTCAAGTAATTAGGATGCTTAATGTAATAGCTAGTAAAAAAATAATCATTCTGAAAGTGTCCGAGCAACTAATCAGTTATTGAGGATTCTAAACATTGTAGAACATGACATCAGGTCCATCTGGCACTGGAACTCTTCATTTGGAAAGCATGAGATGAGATTTGGAAGGCATTCTCAGCCTGGGGTAGAAGAGGCCTTGAGACATTTAATAGATAGTGGAAAAATAAAGACATACCCAGGTAAACTGACAGCATAAATGGCTGCATTTGCAGTTCAGCAATATTATTTCATGTAAGCTCTGCCAGACAGTCATGTCTTGGGTGACATTGCTGATCATATAATCCCATTCCAGGAAGTTCCTTCTACTTATAGGTTCTGTGGTAGAAATTAACACTTTGCTTTTCCCTTCTTCTAGATCCATTCTGAGTAAATCAATACAAGAAAAAGATGACATTCAAAAGCATCTCAACCTCCTGAAGGAAAGGTAATGAGTGGTATGGCGAAGAGACCCAAGGGCTCTCAGTGACTTTGTAACATATTCCTAGAAATGTTCCTTCAATCCTGGGAGCTGTCATTTTTAGGAAATCTATCAGAGGGAAGCTGCTGTATGATCAAGAAAGGGAAACCGCAAGAGCATATCTGCTGAAGTGGATGATCAAGATTTGTTCAAAGTGGCAGAGCCTCTCTTTAACCACCTTATATAGGCAACAGACACTCAGGCAGCATTCCTGGGAGCTGCTGGAATGAACTGTGTGCTCTAGAACTGTAATATAAAGTGAGATATTGAATTTGGCAGTTTAGAGCCACCATCATTTTGTGACATCAGCAGTTTAAAAACAAACAAACTCGCTCAGGTTGTTAAGAGCTGTGACCATTAATAGCATGCGTGGAGAAGGGTAATCTCATGTGTTGGGCATAAGGTGCAGGCTTCTTGTACTTCATTGCTCAGGTAGCCAGTTATACTGTGAAAAAATTGTCTTCCTTTGAAGTGGCGATTACTGGCTACTGCCAGAGGCCGATACCAACTTGAGACACCGTGACCTGATTTCTGGAGGTGCTGAATGTGCACAGCTCTGATTAACTTCAGGGGGAGTTATGGGAGCTTAACATTTCTTAACATCAGACCAAGTTATTTCACACTGGACATCCAAAAATCAAGGCATCTCGAAAATTAATGTCCACTTTTGAAAACAGGCATAAAGCTCTTGCTCCGACATGTATCTATATAGTATCTTTAACAAAGGCACAGGACACTGTATAAAGTTACTCAAATGAAAGGGTCCAAATTGGGAAACAGAAAGTGCTGCGCATAAGCACTTAATTAGTTTTATTTTAAATGGTGAAACGATCAGAACAGCGCAGATAGTACTTAGAAGTAAGTTTCATATCCAGGAGCGTAGCCACAACATAACCCTAGCTCGTAGTACCTTTATATATCAAGAACAATTAAATAGGATACTGATTCTGACCTCCAGTAACTAATGGGGGTTATAATGTTGGTCTTAAATCCAAGGCTATTTAGTTATTTTTATGTAAGCAAATACTACAACAGGTTCAAGTTGTATTTACTGAGAGCCAGTGTAAATATTTTACGATGGGAATAATTTATTGACATAAGTCAGTGCTTGTAAGAATATGGGAAGTAGCACTGGGTATGAGTTCCATCCTGAACTTTTATAATTAGACATTATTGCAGTAAAGACTTGTGATAATCCAGTCTTAAAAAGATAAGGACATTTATAAGCAATTCCAGCTCCTTCTCCTCTCTCTTCCCCCTCTCTCCCACCAAAAAAGAGTCTTGGCTTTAGTAGATGATAAAAAGATGACTGAGCAAAGATACAAAGCATTAGCAAAACTAAAGGATGAACCATTACGAATACTTGTTTTAAGCATCAGAATCCTCAGTGAAAAAAATCAAATAACGTGTCATAACTGATCTTCTTTGGTTTAAATAATTAGAGCCCTGCGCAGATACAAAAATTTGCATCTGTATCCGATCAGCATCTGCAATCATTAATTTGTATACGATCCGCACTCCACCTTTTATATGTATCCGCATCAGCCCCCTATCTCACTGTTAGAGCCCTGCATGGGTACAAAAATTTTGATCTGCATCCGATCTGCAAAGATGGTAAACACCACAACTGCATCCGCGGATATAAAGCGGATATCTGCGGATTTGCAGGGCTCTATAAATAATAACACTAAGCACTTCCACAGCACTTCACAAAAATTAATTATTCTGAACAAAGACATGAGAATAGTACTAACCTACTTAACCTTATAGTTGCCAAACTGAGCCAGAGGGATTAAGTGAGACCACAGCAGACAACATGGTCATAGCCAAGATAAGACCTCTGGAGTTGCTGGCTGCTAGTTCTGTGCTCAGGCATCTAAACCACATCACTCTTGAAAGAGAATTTCAGCCCTTCTTTCTTTAACACTCTGGGCCCTTTACTTCAGTGAGAGCAGCTCTGGGAGTATATGGTGGACATGCCTTCTCCCTATGCAGGTCTTTAGTGGGTCACTTTGTTTTTTCAGGAACAAACACGTGTTTTTTGTTTTTTTTTAATCAAGGCTTCTAAGACATTACAAGACCCTGAAGGTGCCTATTGGGAAGCTAAGCAACCTGAAAAATGTGCTGAGTCTTAAGGTGGCAGAGAAACAGAATCTCTCATCCAATGAAGAGGCTATGGCACTACTACAGGTAAGGGAGACATGGGGGCAAAGGTGGTATGGGATAGGAGTAAAGAATATGTATAAATCCTTGTTCTGCTCCCCAATAGATTCTAACCTTTCAATGGAAGGACCATTTACTCTAGTGATGGGAGGGGAACTTCAGGTGTTCATGTTCTTTCATTCCTGATCTTCACTTCACACTGCTGCATTGAAGGATCCCAATTGTGCACTGGAGAGACTACGGTCTCCAGGGATGAGGAGGAAGTTCAGTCAAGGTTCACTCAGTCCAGGTCTTATTCATCTCTTTTATCAGGCACTTCGTTAAAAAAAAATTCTGATGTGCATCACAGAATCAAAGGGGAACAAAGACAATCCGGGGAATTATAGACCAGTCAGCCTAACTTCAGTACTTGCAAAGATACTGAAACAAATGATTAAACAATCAGTTTGTAGCACTTAGGCCTTGTCTACACTACGAGAGTAGTTCGATTTTACTTGCATCGAATTTTTGGAATCGATATTGCAAAGTCGAACGTGTGTGTCCACACTAAGGACAGTAATTTGACTTTGTGAGTCCACACTAACGGTGAAAGCGTCGACATTCGAAGCGGTGCACTGTGGTCAGCTATCCCACAGTTCCCGCAGTCCCCTCTGCCCATTGGAATTCTGGGTGTAGCCGGCAATGCCTTCTGGGTAACAAAATGTGTCGAGGGTGCTTTTGGGTAACTGTCGTCATCCGTCCATCACTCCCGCCCTCCCTCCCTGAAAGCGCCGGCGGGAAATCAGTTTGCACACTTTTCCAGTCATTGACAGCGCGGACGCCACAGCACTGCGAGCATGGAGCATGCTGCGACCATCGCTGCAGTTGTGGCCGCTCTCAACGCCTCGCAGCTTATCATACAGGTTTCCCTGAGGCAGATGCAGAAAAGTCAGGCGAGGAGGCTACGGCACCGCGGTGATGGCCTGAAGTCTGAGAGTAGCACAGACCTCTCAGAAAGAAAGGGACCCAGCGCCGAGGACATCACAGTGGCAATGGGTCATGTTGATGCCGTGGAACGGCGATTCTGGGC